TTTACAGAGTGAAGGAGTTGGAAGCAGGTGGTCCCCTCTGGGGCCTGGGCCAGTCTGGAGGCAGTCCCAGACACCCTACCCTCACCCTCTCCCAGGTCTTGGGCTGTCTATCTGCCAGCCCTGAATCTATGTCTTCTTCACTTGCACAGAGAGGGGAACAGAGTCTTGAAACTTGCCAAAGTGATTTTGGAAAAAGCAGATAAGCAAAGCAGGGCCCGTGGGGGAGGCAGCCACAAGACCTAGCCTTGCTGATGTGGACGCCAGTACCCTTCCCCCACTGCCCTCGCTCCCTAACCACTCCTTCTGGGGGATAAAAGGGGGGTGGGTGGTCTTCTATTTTTTTTTTTTTTTTCATTTGGATACAGTTTAGACTTACATGGCCCGAAGACGACTGGCTCTGGTTCCATAGTTTCAAACTACTACTGAATCCCACACAAACCACCATGAGAATCTTCACACCGGCTCTCCTTTCAGGCACAGTTATGGAAAGAATCTCTAGGCCTCGCCCTAAATCCCATCCACAAAGCTGATTAAGGTGGTTTGAGACACGTTCTCTCTCATAAACTAGGACCATGAATGTTCCGGCAGCTCAACCCCTAACCAGCCCAAGCTTTGGTTAGGGGTTGATTAAGCCGTCTGGCATTGTGTATTACACACCCCTCACAAAACACGCCACTCCAGGGTGTCTACATAGCAGCTTGTCTGCATTCAAGTCTTGGCATAAAAAAAGTGGATGACAAACTAACCCTATGAAATAGACATCCTACAGAGAACCCACAATCCAAACTTAATTCTAGGCAAGTTGCTAGTGATTCAAATTTGGGAGAGATTGTGGATAATGTTTTTTCTTTATTGTCATGTTTATGGAATAAAGAAAACGAGAAAGGAAAACAAAAATGCCAAAGGTTGAGGAATTGTATCCTAGTGGAAAAACTATATTCCAGACAAAAGAAGGGAAAATATGGGACCCACTCCTCTGCCTCAGGCCCACGAGCATACAAGTGCTATTTATTGGCTTGAAAAAAGGGTAAAAAGAGTTTTTCTAGATCTAACAGATTTTGAAGGTATGTTAAGTTTCTCCAAAAGAATAATAAGTAAAAGTCAGGTTTCAATTCCTCAGGCAGAAGAGGACGTCAATGATACCTGCTGAGGAGAGGAGAAATACAAGATTTTGTGAAGAGGCAGGTAAGTTTGCAGAGCTACAGGGTGGCAGTGTTGGAGTCACCCTCTCCAAGATGGCACCCATGCCAGAATCGGAATCGCCTGCCCACATGCATGAAATGAGATGCCAGGAGCCCACACACAGCACCCAGGAACGTTGGTCCCTGCGCTCAGCTCTTGCCCTAAGCCGACCCTGGGACATAAGACCTCACTTTTCCAAAGACAAGATGGAAAGGCAGTAACCAAGGTTCACTTTTCTGACACAGCCCAGGTTTATGAACATGTCTAGTGTTGTCGACAGGCCCAGAGGTGACAGAGGCCAGGTGTGCTGGGCGGTCTGCTGCACGGACCTCCCCAGCCCACCACGCTGGTTGTCTTCCTGCTGGTTCTGAAAGTGGGTGCTGACGGAGAGACCTGCGGAGGCAAAGAGCTGTGACTCCCACACCTTCACTAGAAACTAAGAAGGCACCCTCACAAGCTAATGGCTGTCTCTGGAATTGGAAGTGCCTTCATTTTGCTAGAGACTCAGTCACAAGCCCTCCGCCTAGGGTTTCCTCGTCTGCAGTGAAAAAATGACAGGCAGTGACACAGTGACCTCGGGACTGCTTTGTTTTGAACATGGAGGGCACAGCAGGAGCCACCTAAATCGTGGCTGCCTTTCAGAATCACTACCTTGGCCGTGTCTCCACCCTAGAGTCATCTGTTTGGTTAGGAAGGTTCAAAAATCTTGCATGGGAGGGACCAGCTGATGGCATATTGGTTATGTTGCTGGACCCCCACATAGTTGACTACGGTTCGAGTCCCAGACCTGGTGACTTAAAGCTCACTGGGTGTGTCGTGCCTGTGCCCAGAATCCTAAGAGGAGAATAGAGAAGGGACTACACCATGGCCATTCCCCCTGGGGGGGTGATCTCTCTCTCTCTCACACACACACACACGCACACAAACACACACACACATCCTATAGCAAAAATTTTTCTTACAAAAAAAAAAAAAAATCTTGCACAGACAGGCAAGAGACCCTGGTTCCCTTCCAAGCACACACACACAGACAGGTAAGGGGTTTCTCCAGCAGCACACGAGTGTGTTTTGTGAGAGAAGAGCTTAGGCCACACACAGGATGGAACACACAAGGGTTATTTGAAGCTCACTCATTGCAAGCAAGAATTCACACACATGTGCAGACAGAAGAGAGAGAGCTTTGTCTCAGAGGCTGCTTGTGGCTTAACCCAAGTTTGAAACGCCAGGAAAGCTTCAAAGAAAGGCAGATGGGGCAAACTCAAAAGAATGCAGAAATATTTGCAACTGAGTCTGAAGCTTTTGCTAAAAGCATCCCGCACAGGACCTGCCAGGGAACAGTGAGAGGGCCTAGGGCCGGAGGTGCATTGGGCTCCCAGGACCAAACTGTGGTGCTGGGCCAGGTCTTCTCTGGCTTCCCTGTGGCCGGGTGAGGCTGTGCCCAGGCTCACCCTTCAGCTCTACATGCCAAGAAGGATGAGCCCTGGGACTGGGGGTGGGCTATGATGTTCTTGCTTTTGTAGACAGATTCTTCTCCTTTAGGTGCCTGTTTTCTGTACTGTGAATCAACTGCTCTGGTGAGATTTTAATCCGTAACTACTCTAATCCCTTCCTGGTTTTATGTGGTGCCATGAAGCATCTTTAGGCCATCACGACTGTAATCTCTCTGGTTGAGGGGAAAGCTGTTCCCTCCATGCCTTCAGCAGTGAGAAGGGAGGATAAAGGAGCATCTCAGGGTGAAAAACGAACCACCAGATCAACCAAATCAACATCAACATCGACTTTCTCTGAAGACATCATGTTTTGTCCATCAGAAACCAGAGGTTCCACAGGTGCTTGGGTTTCAGCTGTGGGGTCCCCAGGAACACATCCAGACGCACAGAATGCCTGACGTTTTCAAGTTCTGCTCCAACTAGGAGAGGTAATATCATGCCACCGGCAAACGGAAAACCCAAGGTTGTCTCAGCCTTAACAATGCCCCAAACCAAGCTGACACTGGTCCACATTGGAACTGTTAAATGCAACAATACGCTTCCTTCCATTGGCAGAGGTCAGTTTAACCCCCCCCCCCCTTTAGAGAGGGCCTTCTGCCTGTGTACGGACAAACCAG